CTTGTGTGACATGATCGATGGCTCCAGTGCACAGTGATGATGAAGAGGTGGAGGAGTAAAGCTTTCACACTCAACTGGAGATGAATCCTGTGTGAATGACCAACTCCTGAGCTAAAGGAAGAAAGTCAAGGAACTTGTATATATTTCTTTAGGTATCCGAATCACATGCAACAGAGGCGTGGACATAAGTGTAAGTGATGCTTACATAAACTGGTGGCATTTTATTCCAGCACAAATACAGAAGGTCTACAGGATAAATGAAGAATGTGCATGTTTCCTTCTTTCTTTTTTTTATCACAATATCAAGCAAGTCTGGATGCAGAGCTCCCGCTGTACGAGGCAACATTAGCTTCAAAGGGGAATAATAATAATTAGCGGAGCTGTTTAATGCTGGAGTCACACAGTTAGCTTTTAGCCAGCTGGTCGTGCTGCATCCACCCAGGATGTGACATCAATGTCAACTGTCAAGCTGCAAGTGACATAGCCTCACTGACACACGTCTCAAACACTCACCTGACAAAAACTTTAATGTGGTTTAATCTGATTTAGCAGTGTTTTGATTTCTGACTTGTACAGTCCGATGTACAAAGATCTGACTTCTGGATTTATATATATATATATATATATATATATATATATATATATATATATATATATATATATATATATAGATAGATGATGGATAAACCTACAGTACCACAGTGAAGTGGATATTTAATGAGGCTTGTCTCCAATTGACTATAGAGTTCGGAGTCATGGGCAGTTGTCCCCCCATCAGATTAAAGCAAAGAGGATGAAATATGATAATGTTGCATTTTTTCACGCTTTAATGATGCAAATGTGGGTCACCATCATTTGGGAACACAGTGAAAATGATGAAGGATTTCAGTTTGCCTGTGATTCTCTGTTCTCCAGCCAATTAGGCGAGCCCCCTGTGGCTTCAGAGTAGCACTGAGCACAGTCCAACGTCTGCTGACCTGCAAACTGACTGGATGTGTGTCTGTTACATAAATACTGCTGATGGGGTGCAAGCAGGGGGTATAACAGGATAAAATTGTCCAGCCTGCAATTTCTCTCTGTGCATTTTTAAATCTTTTTTGGAGATGATGAAAGCCAACATGGCATTGATGGTCACAGCAAGACATCAAGTTGTGTCAAACATCAATTTTGCGTAGTCGCACTGGCTTAAAGGTCCAGTGTGTAGAATCTAGTGGTGTAGTTGAATATTGCAGGTGAATACCCCTCACCTCACCCTCTCCTTCCAAACATGAGAAGAAGAGAACCTGTGGAAGCCTTAAGTTGTCATAAAAACTCAAAAGGTGTTTACTTTTTCCAGTTTGTGCTACTGTAAAGAACATGCTCCCAATGTCAATATAAAGCACTTAAAGGTCCAGTGTGTAAGATTTAGGTGAAAGATATTTAATGTAGACAATTAAATGCTAGCACAGTTTGGAAGGAGAGGGTGAGGTGAGGCGTGTTCAGCTGCAACATACAATTTCAACACTAGATATCACAAAATTCTACACATTGTACCTTTAAATATAAAGGGCCCATTCTAGCATTAAAAAAATAACAATTGGTACAGTTTTACTAGGATTTTTTTATATAAAATTTCTGCCAATAGATCCCTTTTCCTGAAAGTGAAAAACAAACAAATTGTGTTATTCTCATTTCTCATCAGTCAGTATCTGTTTTTTAGGACTTGCAGAATCGAAGCGTTTGTACTGGCTGTGTTGAAAAGCATAATAAATCAGTTCCACCTTGTGACACCAACAATCATTCCATCCGACATCACTCCTCTTTCATTTCGTCATGTTTGACATTTGTGCCTGGCTTCATCTCTTCCTCTGTCAACTCTGCTCCTATAGCTCAACGTCATAGACATGACGAAACCTGTAGGGAAAGATGGAGTTACATAGTTTTTCTTTTAGAACGCGGTGAGGGGCCCCTGATGTGGTGTCAGTCTTTTATGACACACTACACAAGATAAATTCATTTATTGTCTTACCCAATGTCCATTGATAGTTTTTGAACACACCAGACACCCCACGTCTTCCGGGGTAGCCTATAATTGTGGCTAATAGTGTGTAGTCTGAGTCCGACCCTGGCATTTTTTTGTCTTGGGCAAATAAATTCCTTCTCTCTTTACCCTCAGAGTAACCAGGAGAACAGTCCTGCTGGGTAGATGACAGGCTGAGCTGTGGTGGGTTTCATTCCGTTTCATCCAGTAGCTGATGAAATATTTCTGAATCAAAGTGATTGCTTGACCAACAGAAATGAAATATTATGAAACTGATTTTTAGCTCAGCTATATTAAGTTATTATGCTAAAGAACTGAATTGTTGTGCTGTAACTTTCACATAACAAGTCCACACCTGCCCGGTCTGTTTAATTTTTAACAATTAATGCAGGGCCTGATCTAAATACAGTATCTTGGAAAAGGCTGTTAGCTTGGTCTGTGGTGATGCTAGTTGCAGTTTTCAGTCTAAACTGTAAAAGTAACTTGCAGTTTTTGAACCACAGCAAGTAAAGACCTGCTGCTGGACTCAGCCAACAGAAACCTCCTGCACAAAGATATGTTAACCTGTTTATTCAAAGTCCAGTGAAGCTCGACTCATAACACAGAACAACTGATCTGGAGAATTAGTGAAAGTGCCTGTTATCGTGATCATTGTCAACAACGTTCCAACGAGCCCTAGCCGCCACCGCTACAGAGCCCGGATCACCTGCTATTCCACAAGCCTTTAATGACAATACAGGAATCTGATAAGATAAACAGTTCTCGAATATTTGTGAGCCAGATACAGACAGAGATTTCTGGAATTATTAGATAAGATGCTGTCGGAGAACAATAGTTCCTCTTAACATTTATGAATTCCAGGTGAAACTTGGGCTGGCATCCAATGGTTGAAGGCGTTGCCTTGCTGCGGTGATGTATGCAGACCCTGCTCAGTAACATTGCTGTTTTGTGAGATTACAGTTGTGACAGAAAACGCTTGACCGCACAAACCACACTCAGGTCTTTGGGGTTTTTTGTGCTAATTTCAAAGTATTTCACTTCAGGTCTTAAATCACAGCTTCCTACTTTAACCTTCATCTCTCTTTTACTTAAGTGCAACACCACGCTCTCCCACCTGTCCTCTGTTTTATTTAATCCCTCACACATGCTCTTCCTTCTGTCAGACTTAGCTAAGGAGATTTTCTTTTCTAAAAATATATTTTATGTTGCATTACATGTCGCTAATTCCCCCAGAAAAATCCCTTCCAATTAGTGAAGTGTAGTCACTGCTCAACATGTCACAACACAGCCGTGCATGTGGTGACAGCAAGAACTTAGCAGCTGTCCTGCCACTGTGGTTTTTCATCCGTGTCACAGCTGAATTCATGATGCTGTTGAAGACAGGCGGAGTAAAAGGACTGCACAGTCCCATGCCATATTCACCGCACACTGCACTCTATAATTAAAATCACCAAGTCCCCTCAGTGTTCTCGAGTGAAAGGAAAAAACTAAATGGAAATTCAGCAAACAGAGATTCTGAATGCACTTCTTACATTTGTATTTTAATTGAATGGACAACAGAAAAAGGAAAACATGTGGCAAGAAAAGCACACTGAGGGATATTGTTCCACAGAGAGCAGGACACACACATCAGTGCTTTCAAAAGACCAGTGAAGAGAATTGTGAGACATGTGCTTGTTTGTGTTGCAGCAGCAAAAATGAACGTCAAAGATTTATGGCTTCCAAAATGCATTTCCTCTGTCATGTGTCCTGACATTATCAGGAACCTGCACAGGATTCTGCTGTTCGCCAGCAGCTCATGCAGGACAAAGGATCAGATTTGCTCTTGTTGTCAAGATTTAGCGCTTTAACTTAAAGGTCCAGTGTGTAAGATTTAGGTGAAAGGGAACTATTGGCAGAAAATGTAGAATAATCCTCATGATGTTTTCACTAGTTCATTTCTTCTAAATTGTATGAACTGTAGTTTTCTTTACCCCAGAAAAGGTCCTTTATATTTAAATACTTTATATTTACATCAAGGGGACCCTCTCTACGGAGGCCACCATGTTTTTTACATTAGTCCAGACTGGACAAACTAAACACCTTTTGAGTTTTTATGACAACTGAAGCTACCACAGGTTCTTTTTCATGTTTGGAAGGAGAGGGTGAGGTGAGTGGCATTCAGCTGCAACATACAATTTCAACACTAGATATCACAAAATTCTACACACTGTACCTTTAAGCTCTCCACACACACACACACACACACACATATATGAACAAATAACAAGCGGCAAGTACAGTTAGACAGACATTCTGTCTGTATGAGGATGACATAATGTTTTATAAACCAATTTGTTTTATACACTAATTACATTACTATTAGATTGTTTGCCTTTCTATTGATACTCATATAATCAGACTTTATATAAGATGGGTGGTGGCAAGAACACTTTCTGACTGGTTGTAATAAAGAAGTTATGTTTGACACTTTTTTGTAGTTGATGTTAGCATGTTGTTAATTCGGCTATTATTCACTAACCTTTATGAATTAAGTGTACTCGATTTATTTCGTTGTCAATCCTTGTAATATCACTATGGCACTGATACCAGCAAAATGTACGTTCACATCATTCAAACATTATATTGTCAATTTTGTGAGCCGCTGAACCATGATTCAGTTTGATCCGGCCCGACATCACCTCTTGTGGTCGGACTGAATCTTGGTCAGTTGGTCCGTACCGTGGTTGGAGGAACCATTTCGAACCTCTTATTTCGGTTCAGACTAAACTGAAAAGTCAGAAGGTCTACACCAAGCAAAGTAGGTGTGATAGCAACCCTCAAAAACCCTAGGAACCACATGTGACCGTACATTAAGAAAGTGAAGTCCTCATATATATTGTTGTGGTCGCGGAAGCTCACACAGAGAACTGTACCACAGTATAACATTACAAAAATGTATAAGTCAACATACTCATGGTTATCAATTCTCTGTCAACAGTCCAAAAGCTACATGTGCAGCAGCCAGGGGAGTGTGCTGTGCTTCACCATAGATTTTGGATCGGGCTTCACCTGCTCAGAAGGCTCTTCAAAGGTGAAATATAACTGAGCTCATAATCCTTCTTGCTGTTCCCTCTCTGCACTTTGACGTTTCTGTTTCCCTCATTGACTGCCATGTGCTCGTTCTCACTCACTTAGGCTACCACTGTGTTTGGAAATGGATTTGAAATAACTCCGAAATATCGGCATTTCCCCCGAAAGAAACAAAGATAGGGTTTAAAATGTTTCTTCCAGAAAGTATGCTCTTGGTATTATAGGTACATCGTAAGATTATTTTGGCAGCGAAGCTAAATGTTGAGTCAGCCCTGCAGTGGAGACGTTTTATGTTCTTTGAATCACTGCAAGAACAGAACAGCACTATGTTCTTTTGTTATAAACTATATGTCTCCTTAAAGCCCGATTGCACATTAAAGTGTCAGGTCTTGATCATGCAGATCTGTAGTTAGACATGGTATGTAAATGTGCTCATTACTGAAATCCTTGTGCTGCTGTGTCTGTATAATCCCCTCCCTTATAGAGTGTGCTGTGGCGCTATAAGTTCTCTCAACTTAAAGGCTCCTCTGATGATGGGAAAACCAGGGTAAAACTCCTTTTCAAGAACGCTGAGAGCAAGCAAATAGAAATGAAGGTAATGCAGTTATTTTATTTCAATTAAGATAAAAGATATAAAGTAACATGTTAATTTGCACTGGCTACTCAATGATACTGGTGAACTAGTATGTATAGTGAGGACACCTTTTTCTAAGGTGTTGATTAAAACCGCTCCAGTTTTTTCATGACATAAAAAATCTTTTACTTTTACACCTCATATCAATGGCTTTCTTTCTGTGTCCTTGACTTTTTCTTCCCAAAGGAACTGGAGTTTGCTAATCTGACAGCCGTCCTTCACTGCATACATTCTTTTATCGCTGCCAAAGTTGCCTCCATGGACCCTCTCTTTATGTGCAGTCAAAGCTTCCCTGGAAATTACATGAACAGTTAAGAATTCATCGTCATGTGCACCCGAGGCAGTATTTTATGCACAGAGCCAACTAATATGTATATCTTGTTCTTGCTATTTTTGTATGAACTCCTGAAAAAAAAATGTTTGTAAAAAATATTAGAGTAGATGATGTATGAAAAATGATTGTTGGAAGATGTTGTTTGATTTTTATTATTTAATTTTTGCGGGAAAAACGCGCATTAGGAAGACTGATTCTGATTGCAGGGGTCTAATCTGGCACCAGTGACCATACGATGTGAAACTTCCATTCAACTGACAGCATGACACCGATTTCCAGATACATCTGTCACTGTGTTTAGCAGAAAATCGATGAAGAGTTTTTCCTCTTGTGAGAAATTACTTTTCTACTGACTACATGAATCTGATGCTGGTTGACTATGACAAAAGAGTTCACATCTGCATCAGACTCTTTCCTTTCAAGTCACCCCAGAGCTGTAATGAAACACTAACGTTTCTTTTTTCCCTGCTCCTCTGCTTCATTTACTTTTCTGTTGCCACGTCTGTGAAGAGGGAGAGAAGAATGACACGACACTTCACAATATAATCCAGTCCAATAAGCCTCCAAATAACTGATCGCTCAGATGAAACACATGAATCTTCACAGAGGCAGAGTGTACTGTTGGACTTCTTCTTGTTTGATGGAAACGGTGAATACATGTTTATGAGCATCTCAAAATTTATAGTCCAACAATATTTCTCTTGTCTAGTCTAAAGAAGCCATAAAACAAAATTATTTAATCTTGATCTATTTGTTATTACAGCCAACAGGAGGTTCATGGACATGCATGCTCTCGCAAAAGCTGGTTAAAGCTAGGGTTGGATATCCTGTAAAAGTTAGAAAGTGCAGGCTACACTGAGAAAAAATGCAACAGATACATCCTAACCCCTATCATCGTCAAAGCCACACCCCCAACACATACACGCACTGCATGACAACCGCTAGAAGACAAATTTTCCATGACCTGCTTGCAAGGTCAGGCTATTATCTCAGCTTCAGCGGTGCATGTCTCGCTGACTAAAGACAGCCAAATGCAGTGAGGGCACATGCAGGGTGCGGGCCAGTAAAGACTTAGGCCAAATGCAGTGAGGGCACATGCAGGGTGCGGGCCAGCAGTCAGTGAGCTAGTACGCCGGCCAATCATTTCACTCAGTCTCTCCTGTGAGGGCCACAGTCAGCAGCTTTTTGTCTTTTGTTTTAAGACTTTATTTATTGATGGCTATTCAACAAATAAGGTATAAAGTGTTTCAGAAACAACTTACCAGTCCTGCCTATAACACACAGCATGAGCTGCTAATACACCATGAAATACAATATCCCTCACTGGTGAGTAATGACATTAGACTGTTGGTTAGCTGGCCAAACTGGAAGACACAGGAGGCAGCCCTTTCACATGGAGACATTCCCTCACGTCAGCAAAAAGAATGGGCTCCTCGTGGAAGGCTAATGGTCTCATCTGTGTTCATTTGTTATGCACCAACCAGCCGAGCAGGCACAGCCCTAGCTGTTTCATTGTCCTTTGTCATATGTAAACACGTACACCTGGAGGACAGCCATCTTGTAAGAGGTAGGGCAAAAAAAGACTGATCATGACTAAGCATAAATTTTGGCTAAACCTGTGTAATGGATTACATTACTCACGCCATTTTCTGCCAGTGAATCTAGTTTTGGTTTGATATGGTGTGTTGATGAGACCAGTATGGCAATCATGTGGTAGTTTTTCTTTCCTCACTACCTGGAATGTTATTGATGTTATATTTCTATTAAAAACAACAGGACAATGGTTGTTTTTAATTGGAGGTACCTGTCCTATCCAGTAACACTGGGTATGGCCAGCGCTGGGAACCACCACTCCCTAACTTTATTTTGGACTTTCATGCCAGTGACAATGTCAGTTACAGAGGATACAGGGTTATTAAGATAATATTTGATCACAGCTTATCAGTGAGCTGAATTTGACATGATTATACCTTTGGCGTGTCTTTGTTTAATGAATACAAAATAAACCCTAATATGTTGAAAATGTCTCTCTAAGCCTGTTTCCTTATTTGAAAGTGGAGCTTTTGACGCCTCATGTTCCATGAAGCAGGAGAAAAATGTAACCGAATCCACTTCATACACGGTTTCATGGCAAAGAACCTTTTAACTTGTATTTCAAAGTTTTCCTGATACACTAAACCAATTAAATAATTAAAAAAAAATGTTCCCATGTTTTATTATTTGAATGTTAAAATACTTTTTCATCATGCTTGACTAGAGTTTTCAAAGCCATCTTCACAGTGTTTATCTCTCTATTGTAACTAGAGTCAATTTGCCCCGCTGTTGCTCATGTTTGCTCGGGTGGAACAAGTTGGATTTTGTATTTTTTAAGATCTTGGACTTTTGTGCAGCACCATGAGACGATTGATTGTTGTGATATCATGCTGTATAAATACATTTGATCGATTGATTGATTGATTGAATTTCAAGAATATAGGCAAAGTAAATGCAAACTCAACATGTATAATTACAACCCCAAATCACAAAAAGTTGGGACGGTATGTTACATTTAAAATTAAAACAGAAAGCACATTTTTTGATGTTTGACCTCATTAATTTTTTTCATATTTCATTTTGATTCTAGCAACATATTTAAAAAAAAGTTCGGAAAGTAAAGCATTTACCACTTTGTGATGTTGCCATTCCTTTTCACAACACATAAAAGACGTTTAGGGACTGAAGACACTGTTGTCGCATTTTGCATTTCAAAATGTGCCACACATTTTCTTTTGTTGCAAAGTCGGGACTGCACACAGGCCAGTCCAGCACCCGCACCCTCGTCTTCAGCAGCCATGCCTTTGTAAATATTTGTACAATGTGGTGTTGCATTGTCTTGTGGAAATATGGAAACACAGATGTCAATGGAAAAGATGTTGTCTTGAAGGCAGCATATGCTGCTCCAAAATCTCTGTACTTTTCGGCATTAATGATGCCATCACAGAAGTGTAAGTTACTTTTGCAAAGGGCACTGACACAACCCCACACCAGACCTTGGCTTTTGGACTTGTTGCTGATAACAGTCTGGATGGTCATATCATCTTTAGTATGGAGCACACAGTGTCCATTTCTTTAAAAAAATACTGTAAATACTGACTCGTCTGACCACAGTACACGTCCACTGTGTTATGGTTCATCCCAGATGCCTTTGAGCCCAGAGAAGTCGACGGCGCTTCTGGACACGGTTAACATCAGCCTTCCTTTTGGCACAATAAAGTTTTAACTGGCATTTGTGGATGTAACTACTGTTATGGAAGTTTTCTGGAAGCTGGTGAAAGGAGAACTTAGGCAGCAGCTGATGTCTTATGCAGAAGAGTTTAACATAGACTTGATGCATCGAGGAGACCAGAAGGTGGAACAATATACAAACATATCTTGGTTAGTCCGTTACCTATAGCCTGACCTTGGGTACTGTGAAGAGATAAGAGAGTATCTGTGGAATTAGCCAGGCACTCTTCTCTTAATGGTGTACAGATATAATGTAATATACACTATATATACACAATACGGTATATAGTGGCATATACAGTAATGTGTGAGGATATATACAAAAATTCCTCCATATTCCGTGAATCTTTTAATAATGTTATGCACTGCAGAGGATGAAATATCCAAATCCCTTCCTACCTTTCTTTGAGAAACACTGTTTTTAAACATTTCAATAATTTTTTCACACATTTGTTGGTAAACTGGCGCTCCTCGGCCCATCTTTGCTCCTGAAGGACGAGGCCTTGTTGCCTTTGTACTAAATCATGATTACAATCACCCGTTGACAGCAGCTATTTCAAATCACTTGATTTTCTGATCATTCTACCTCATTACGAGCCTTAAATTGCCCCCTCGCTGAGCCTTAGCCTACAAAAGGTAGAAGTGACGCAGCTGATAACATTTATTGGGGGGGGGGTGCAGTGTTGTCCTGGACAAACAAACTGAAGCCAGACTTAACAACAACACAACACAACTCAATATGCCAGTCCTGTAGCCTTCACTGAGCTGCTGAGCAATGCTGAGCCTGCCGCAGTAATGTAACATCAGTGTGCCTGAGAGACGGTGACAGCTTTCATGCTGCACTTTTCATTGAGATGTTTTAGGTCTCGCACCCCCGTCGTGGTCCGCAGTACCACTTAAAAACAGCCAACAGGGGAAGCAGTAAAAGACATTACTTACACCACATCCAGTTAGTCAACTTTGTTTCTCACAGCAAGAGCAGGAGAAGCCCAGGGTGTGAACTTGTCCTCGGTTCAGTCTTTGATTCTTACTATCGCCTGGTGAAAGAGTGTTTTTACAAAGAAATTACCGCATTTCACCTCAGTTCCACTCACCAGATCTTTGCCAGTCAGCTCGCAGCGGAAGTAGCTCAGTGATGGCATCGAGAGTCGGCCAATCACATTAGATCAAAAATCAAATCAATACCTATTCGCTGTAAATAAAAGTGGGAGTGTCCGGGGTGCAGAGAGCTGCATCCTGTGGAAAATCTGCAAAAAACAATTAAAGATCAGCAGCAGGTCCAGTGGCCAAAAATTTAAAGACCCACATTCACATCCACTTGGCCAGCGCCCTGCACCAGGAAGTAAATGTATTTTGACAGAAAAAACAATTAATTAAATTATGCTGGGGCGCTGGCCCATATTATATTATGGGCCAGCGCCCCAGCACCCCTTATTAACAAGCTGCCACTGCCTTACATAGTATTGTATTGGTCTGTATTGTTCAGGTTATCTACGGTTTGTAACATTAATTAAGTGTAAGTAGTTAGTACAGGTCTGCCTGATTCCACAGTGAGGAAAAAATATTAAGATATTTTCCAAAAGTTTTTCTCTTGAAGTCAAAACTCTGAGATCATTTGTTGTTTCTTTGGACTGAAATACTTCTGTGCTGAAGCCAAAGCAGTCACCGTGACAAAAACAGGGCACAGAGCACCACATCCAAGATGATCTTTAGCCCACTGCTGAGGTCACTGCCAGCTGCTGCGACACGCACAGCATCATGAAGTTGCAACAGCACCACGTCAAGCATGAATTTCAAGTGTGCTGCTCAACTATCAATGGGCCGTGACTCTCACAGTTGACCCCACTGGCGGCACTGGACCCTGAATGCTAACTGAAGTATTTGTGATGAGGGGAAGTTTCCAGGGCAACTTCAGGACCGCTGCCATGGCCTTTCCCACTGATAGTAATCCCTACAGTCTGCATCTAAAACTTAGAAAATAGGCTCGGGAGAATGGAGGCACAGAGAAGGAAGCAGGACCATGAACCCATTAAAGCACTGGAATGACTGCTGCTGATACTGTGCCCTTTTATTTCGTCTGTTCTGTCCTTGAAGCAAAGTCTGATAGAAAGACAGTGACAAGTTTTATCAGTAAGAGTGCCGTCAGAGTCGGAACTATTAAAAGAAGATGTAAGCAGCCCTGCACTATTTTAATAAAATACATAAATGGTGATTAATAATAAGATAGATGGCTCTGGTGAAAGCTGTTGTCACTGAAAGGCCATGCTGCATAGGATAACAATAAATGCTAAGCAGGCTCATTTCCATGAGCCATAATTTACTTTTTTCTTTGATGGCCCCCAGATAGTTTGAGGCCAGACCACATCAGCATTTACAAAATCAACACATTCAAAAAGAGTCACTGGATTTGGTAGATTTGCTCTGTAGAGTCAATTCACTCATTTATTTGACTTTATTTAATCTACTCTGTTAAAGTATAAACTACAGAGCCCTCAGGGTCACTGCAAGGATTCTTCTGACAAACACTTTTGTGTTACTTCGCAGTTCTGTCTATCCTGCAATACTTTTGTGTTTACTCCCAAAACTTTCTTCATCTTCATGTTTTCTGTGGTGAGAGCGATCCAGGACAAATATCCAAGTGGCTGAGATAATGGGAGGGGAAAGTTTTTTTGTTTTTTTTTTCAAATCACTCAACCAATGACAATAGAAAGACTGAATCCCTGAATTCCTCCAGTGAGGCCGGTTTATTTAATCTTGGACTCTCTGCCATATCTGAATATAAAAAGACTGGTTCAACAGGCCACCCAGCACCAGGATACTTTCTTATTGGGAAAATCTTTGACTCTTCTCATGTAATTTGCCAGCAAAAATGGCTTGGTTTTTAAAATTAACTTTCCATGCAGTGTTGATTTGCATTGTTCTCCAGAGTTTTTCAACTGATGATGCCGGACAGCTCCTCTGTAAGTATACATTTCTTGTATTTTTAGTTTTTTATTAAGGTCTTTTCTTTTCATTATAAATGAGTCATAACCAATGTTAAAGGATTGGAGGGATTGGTTCAAATGCAGTTTGCTATCATAGAATGGCAAGAGAGACAGCCAATGATAAATAACTCATAATAAAGCATAATTAGGGTTTTAATCTTTGCTATTGATTTGAAGAAAGTGAAATGTGGATTCTGAAAACATTCAAATTTTTTCTAGAGGCCATTCAATCTCAAGCAGATTTGCTTCTGTTTAATGAACTGGTGCAAAAATTTGTCAAACATTTTTTTTTATGCATTGATGTAATGAAGCCTTAAATATTTTCAAATATTAACTTTTAACTGGCAAACTAAATTTTACATGTAGGTTTTGAAAACCAACATTGTTTGACAAAAAGTCAGTGATAGAAGAAAGATTCAGAATCTGCTTTTAAATAAAGGAGCTGATATGATGTAGAAATATTTGCCTAAGGTAGGATGAATTTATATGGGACTGTTAGTGTGGCTCTGTCCTTTTCTTGAATAGCCCAGTAGAACTAAGGCATTAAGTTGACACAGACTCCAAAAAAACTCAGCAGTCCAGGTACTTTGTTTAAGAATCTTTACTGAAGCTTTATTTTTGTAGTACAAAAGAAAACAGACAAATAATTCAGTAATCTATTAAAGAACCGTGGAGTGTGAGCACGGTGGAAGACTAGTGTGCCCTCCACTCTAGCTTCAACAAACCAAACTAAGCAAGCACAGTTAGCACATTAATTTAGTATTTCACAAATGGTTCTAATAGGGACATTCTTTGAAAATGTTTTAACCTGCTTTACATATTGGATCAACATATATATCTTACTGTAATCCTTAAGAAGTTTTTA